CACTCATATATGTATTTTAGACCTAGAGCCAAGAATTACCAGCCTACATTTCACCCTGCCAGAAAATCTAGGAGACAAGGGGGACCCTAAGAGAGAGATACATGGTCCTCTGGAGAAGGGGAAATGGACAAGATCTCCTGAGCAAATTGGGAGCATTTAGGAAGGGTAGAGGGAGTTAGAAGAAATAGGAGGGTAGAAGAGGAGAGGAGACGAGTATGTGAGGGAGCAGAAAGATTGAGTTGGGAGAAAAATAGACAAGAGCAAGAGAAGAGATACCATAATTGAGGGGAGTCATTATTGATTTAAAGAGAAGTCTGGCACTAGGTAAATACCCAGAGATCTACAAGGATGAACCCAACTGATAATCTAAGCAATAGTGGAAAGGCTACCTTAAATGGTCTTCCATGATAATGAAATTGATAACTACCATATATGGGATCCTAGACCCCTCGTCCATTAGCTAATGGAAGCAGAAGCAGACACCCACAGCTAAATACTAGCTAATCTCCTGGAATCCAGTTACAGAGAAGGAGGAGTAATGAGCAAAGAGCTCAAGACCAGGCTGGAGAAACCTACAGAATCAGATGACCTAAACAAATGTATCCCATGGACCACAGACTGATAGCTGGGAAACCATTACAGGACCAACCCAGACCCCTTGAAATGGGTGTTTATTAGGAGGACATAGCAGTCTATAGTGCCTCTGATAATAGATAAGTATTTATCCCTAGTATATGAATGGATTTTGGGAACCCATCACACAAAGAGGGTTACAGTCTCAGCCTAGACACATGAGGGAGGGCCTGTCCCCTTCCGCAAATGATATGACAGACTTTGAAGGCTCCCCATGGTAGGCTTTACCCCTCCCTGGACAGCAGAAAGGATATGGTCTCAGGTATTCTCTGTGTTATAGGGGAGGATAGGAGGATAGTGAGGGAAATGGGATTGACATGTAAAACAACCTTGTTACAAATTTAAATTTAAAAAAGGGAAAAAATACACATAGCACAAAGAAACTGCTGTGTGAATCCTGATTTAAAGTGGATTTTAAAAAACAGAGCATTCTATCCTAACACAAAGAATATACAGTGTTATCAGCTCCACATGGAACCTTCTCTAAAATCGACCATATAACAAACCTCAACAGATTAATAAATAAATAAATAAATAAATATGGAATAACATCCTGTAGCTTATCAGACCACCATGGTTTAAAGTTAGTATTCAACAACAACACAAATCTCTGAAAGCCTACAAACTCATGTAAACTGAACAATGCACAGTTGAACCCTTCATAGTTCAAGGAAGCAATAAAAAAAAAAAAGAAATTAAGCCTTTCTAGAATTCAACAAGAATGAAGACACAACAAACCCAAACTTATGGGACACTTTGAAAGCAGTACTAAAAGGAAAATTTATTGCATTAAGTGCCACATGGATAAATTGGAAGATAGTCACAATACAGAATAAAAGCACAACTATACACAGTAGAACAAAAAGAAACACACTCACCCAGGAGGAGTCGACAACAGAAAACAATCAAATTGATGGATGAAATCAATAAAGTAGAAACAAAGAGAAAAATTTAAGGAATCAATATAAAGTTATTTCTTCCAGAAAATCAACAAGATGACAAACTTTTATCCAAAGTAACCAACAAGCAGAAAGAGAACAAGAAAATTAACAAAATCAGAAATGAAAAGGGGAACATAACAACAGACACTGAGAAATTTCAGAGAATCTACAGATCATACTTTGAAAAGCTGTACTACAATAAATTTGAAAATTCAAAGAAAATGGATGAATTTCTGGATAGATAATCATTTACCAAAATTAAGTCAAGAACAGATAAGCAATTTAAATACACCTATATCCTCTAGTGAAATAGAAGCAGTCATCAAAAGACTCCCAATCAAAAAAAGCCCAAGGCCAGATTGTTTCTGTAAAGATTTCTACCAGAAATTCAAAGAACTGCTATTAACCATATCCCTCAAATTTTTCCACACAATAGAAGCAGAAGGTCATTGCCAAACTCTTTTTACAAGGCTACAAATACCTTGGTACCCAAGCCACACAAAGACATACGTAAGAAAGAGAACACAGACCAATATCCCTCAAACATTGTTGCAAAAATACTCACTAATAAAATCAAATCCAAGAAAACATTAGAGAAATCATCCCCCAGTACTAAGTAGGAAAAATAATGCAGCTATGAACATAGTTGAACAGCTGTGTTCATTGCATGTATGCGGATCATTTGGATATATGTGTAACAGTGGTATTGCCAGGTTCTGTGGCAGACGGATTCCCATTTTCCAGACTAACTGCTATAATGATCTCCAAAATGGCTGTACAAGTTTACATTGCCACCAGCAATGGAGGAGTGTTTCGCTCTCTCCACATCCTCTCCAATATAAGCTGTTATTGGTGTTTCTCATTTTAACCATTCTGATAGTATCTCAGAGTTGCCTTAATTTGCATTTCCTTAATGGCTAAGGATGTTGAGCACTTTTTTAAGTGTCTCTCATCTATTTTGGATTCCTCCATTGAGAATTCTTTATTCAGTTCTTTGACCCACATTTTAAATGGATTATTTGGTGTTTTGATGACAAGTCTCTTGAGTTCTTGTCAGATGTGGGGTTGGTGAGGATTCTTTTTTTTCTATTCTATAGGCTGCCATTTTGGTTTGTTGACTGTGTCTTTTGCCTTACAGATGCTTCTCAGTTTCAGGAGGTCCCATTTATTAATTGTCCATCTTAGTGTCTGTGTTACTGGAGTTGTGTTCAGGAAGCAGTCTCCTGTTCCCATTTGTTCAAGGGTACTTCCTGCTTTGTCTTCTAAGAGGTTCACTGTGGCTGGATTTGTGTTCAGGTCTTTGATCCATTTGGACTTGACTTTTGTGTGTGGCAATAGTCATGGGTCTATCTGCAGTCTTCTACACACCATCATCTAGTTGTGCCAGCACCATTTGTTGAAAATGCTTTCCTCCTCCCATTGTATACTTTTAGCTGTTTTTTCAAAAAATCAGGTGTTCACAGGTATCTGTTAATATCAGGATTTTCGATTTGATTCCATTGACCTACCTGTCCGTCTTTGTGAGAATATCATGCTGTTTTCAGGACTATAGCTCTATAGTATAGCTTGAAGTCGGGGATGGTGATGCCTCCTGAAGTAAGTTCTTCTATTGTACAGGGTTGTTTTGGCTATCCTGGGTCTTTTGTTTTTCCATATAAAGTTGATTATTATCCTTTCAATGTCAGTGAAAAATTGTGTTGGGATCTTGATGGGGATTGCATTGAATCTGTATATTGTTTTGGCAAGATTGCTATTTTACTATGTTTATCCTACCTAACCAAGAGCATGGGAGATCTTTCCATTTTCTGGTATCTTCTTTAATTTCTTTTTTTAAAGACACAAAGTTCATGCTATATAAGTATTTTACACAGTTGGTAAGTGTTACCCCAAGATACTTTATGTTGTTTGTGGCTATTTCTTTAGCAGTCCCTTTGTCATTTGTATACAGTAGGGATACTAATTATTTTTTTAGTTTATCTTGTATCCTGCTAGTTTCCTGAAGGTGTTTATCAGCTGTAGGAGTTCCCTGATAGAGTTTTTTGGATCGCTTATGTAAACTATCATATCATCTGAAATATTGAAAATTTGACTTCTTCCTTTCCAGTTTGTATCCCCTTGATCTCCTTTTGCTGTCTTATTGCTTTAGCTAGAACTTCAAATACAACATCGAAGAGATAGATAGATAGATAGATAGATAGATAGATAGATAGATAGATAGGTAGATAGATAGAGATAGATAGATAGATAGATAGATAGATAGATAGATAGATAAGCATTATCTTGTTCCTGGATTTAATCAAAGGCTTTTTCAACATCTAGTGAGATGAGCATATGGTTTTTCTTTTTCAGTTTGTTTATATGATGGATCACATTGATAGATTTTCATGTGTTGAACCATCCTTGCAACCCAGGGATGAAGCCTACTTGGTCATGGTGGGTGATTTCTCTGATTCTTAGATTGCATTTGCCAGTATTTTATTGAGTACTTTTGCATGAATGTTCATGAGGGATATTGGTCTGTAGTTCTCTTTCTTAGTTGTGTCTTTGTGTGGCTTGGGTACCAAGGTAATTGTGGTCTCGTAAACAGAGTTTGGTAATGAACCTTCTGCTTATATTGTCTGAAACAATTTGAGGAGTATTAATATTAGCTCTTTTTTGGATTTCTGGTAGAATTCTGCACTGAAGCCATCTGGCTCTAGGATTATTTTTGTTTGGGAGTCTGTTGATGACTGTTTCTATTTCATTAGAAGTTATAAGTCTATTTAGTTGCTTATCTGTTCTTGATTTAATTTTGGTAAATGATAGTTATCCAGAAATTTGTCCATTTCCTTTGAATTTTCAAATTCTCTGGAATACAGGTGTGTATATTCTTGAATATTATTGTTAAGTCCATGCAATATGATATTAGGGCTGAACAAAAACCTAGACCTAGATCTATAGGCAGCTGGACCTTCCTTAACAAAGACTTGTGTTTCATACTAGATTTGCTATTCCAAATGACAACTATAATGTTGTAAACTTAATTATGTGTGTGATATATTTAGGAAACACCCCCACATGTACATGCCCTGAATGTATTTTCAAAAAGAATCATTGGATACATTTATTCAAGGAAGACACATGTACCCTGGACATTGGCACACCACATAATGCCTGGGCAGGCTATAGCATGGGTACTGCAATATCTGTGGGGACAGTGTCATGTAAACAAAGGCAGTTTTTGGAAGTAGTGACACAGGTGACACAACATCATGAGGCTGCCAATCAAATGTCCCCACATTGTGTGCCACAGCAATGATTATTAATGGATACAGAAATGAGTGAAAGAGACATGGACAACAGTGCTGCATTACAACACTTTGGTCACTTCTTGGCTTTCTCCCTCTTCATTCACATGAAGTTTGGGGAAAGGTATTATTTTTCTACCTGTCTGGTTGGAAATGTGCCTCTCTGGACAAAACACACAAGAAAAACAGCAGACAGGTCTTTCTTCTTCTATAAGTTTCCAGAAACCCGGACCACAGCTCTGTGTACATACAGATTGAGGAGTCTGAGGAACACACAGAAATTCTCATCATAATTTTGCACATCCATTACAGGGTGAATATTTTTAAGCTAAACAATTTAAACTTAACTTAGACTATGAGAGCTGTATGAAATTATGTGAGACTGTGAAGACTCTATATGGTGTGTAGAGTGTAGAGTTGAAGTTACCACACTTCCAGATACTAAACTAAAGGTTCAAAGTTTCTTTATGTTGAGTAAACTGTGACTAACTTCTGCTATCTTTATTAAATGTCTTTAATAACTGAATTTTCCCTTCTGGGATAAAAACAACCCAGAATTCCTTCCTTGTATGAACTGTGGAGCAGTTGAAGTCAGACAGAAACCAAGTCACTGTTGCCAATCTCTTTCCCCGGCCTGTAGTCCAACTATTCACTCTGATTCCCTTTCCATAAGAGAGGGTTTGGCCATTGGTGGATGGTCAAGGCTTCTCCTGACTCCTTCATATGTAGATTTTCCTGTGATGTTCACTCTTGACTCCCCATGATGCATATAGGGTTCTAATTTTTCTTCCAAACATTAGTGATGTCATCATTTAAGATTTTCATGAATTGGCTCCTTAGTTAACCACATTAACCACTGTATTCTAACACAACTTCAGTATGCTAATACTTTTAGAATTTGTGAATGCTAAGAAATTTTATTACCTTTCCTTAAATATGCTTCTTGCTATAAGTTAGACTCAGTTTCTGTCTTATAAATATACACATATTAACTGGTATATGGGGTTGGAGAAATGGCTCAGCAATTAAGAGTACATACTGCTCTCACAGAGAAACCCGTGATCACCTCCAGAACACAAATCAGGCAGTTCACAAACATTGGTTATAAAGAAGATTTGTATAAAATCCACAATTCATTTATTTGTTTGAAGGAGTATGGGCTTGTTTGTGTAGGAGTTGTGTTAAATGAGAGCATTAATGTATAATAAACCTGTGTATATGTATACACACATTTATGTGCATATGTATGAACACAGAAACACACACATGCAGACTCCTTTATAAAGTCTTGAACACTGATTTATTCATTCATTGAAGCATGAAAACACACATGAATTCAAATTCAATCAAACTCATTCTATCTAGAGGAATTAGCTAATGATATGTGTTTGCTTTGTTTATATGAATATGTTTAATTATCAAAGTGAAATTTTAAAGATTGATTTATTTCTGAATTAAAGACATCAAAGTAAACTAAAGAGATGGCCCAGTATTTAATGTGCTTGCCCCATAAACATGAGGTCCTAAACTTGATCATGGAGAAGGGAAGTGTAGAAAAGTAAGGGGCAAAACTATATGCCTGTAATCCCAGTATGGTAGTCATGGAGACAGGGAGAATGCCTGGGAATACTGTCCAGTAGGTACAGCTAAACCCAAAGAGAGATTATGTTTATAATAAAATGGACAAAACAAAGGAATGTAAACAGTGCTGACCATTGCCTCAATAGAAACATGCACTCACATGCATGAGCATGCACACACATGCTCACAGCACAGATAAGAACTTAGAATCTATAAATTATTTTAAAATTCAAAGACACATCACACAATGAATTTTCATAACTCTTTTCAGATATTTGATGACATATGAAATGTTTATATTCAACCAGACCTTATTAAAGTTGCTTGGCCACTTGATCAAATCTTCATTGATGAACAAGCCTTGATCTTGTGGACTCTTGGAGACAAACTCTCCTACTTTAACTAGAAATGAATCATTATTAGTATATCCCAAAAAGTTTTGTATATCATAATTTTCCACATGATTCTTGTTCTCATCAAAGCATATTTGATCTCCAGCTGCATTTGCAAATTGTATTTTCCTCAGAAATGGATGAAGCTGTGGAGAGATATCATTTGGGTATGAGCGGTGAATGCAAGTTTCTCACTGGATGTTCCTAAGAGCATCCCTCTTTCTCTCACCTTACTCTGGCTTTCTTGGTAGAGTCTTCATTTGAGTAATTGTCTTCGCTGTTGTTGCAGTTAGATGTAATTTTCTCCCCATTAAATTCACATAGGAGTTACCTATGGGGTGGAACATACCACAATGTGCAGCATGTTCTTAGTGAGAACAATGCCTTGTGTCTCTCCCCAGCAAAAGAAAAATGTCTACAACTAGAAAATATAGATGTTTTCAGAGTGAAACTGGAGTAAAAAATGGAAGCATCCTTATGTCCATGGCTTTATAGGTGCTAAGGTATTTACCTCCCTTATGGCATACAATGAACACATGTGTGTATTGCTATGTAGGTAGATATGTGTACTCTTATATATACAGAGTTTCTTGACACAATAATTTTAGGAGGAGTTTCTCCTAAGCTCTAAATTCATGAAAAATGCATATTAAATATTTGTGTGCCATTTATACTTCAGGAAAATATATAGACACCTTCTGCAGCCATCCATTTTTTCCATTTGCATTGGGTCCTTCTCAACTTCGATATGAACAATATTGGAGAAAAATTAATATACAATGTTCTGCGTTGTAACTAGATATTTAAAAATAATTCTTTATTGTTTAGATTAATTTATTTTTGTTTTGTATATGACTTTCCTTCCTACATGTATATATGTGCACTAAACATTTGTGTTTTGCCAGTGAAGACCAAAGAGGGTTCTGGGTTTCATGGAAGTGGTGTAAAGATAGTTTTAAGCTGCCTTGTAGATACTGGGAACTTAACCTGGGTTTTCTCAAGGGCTTCAAGTACATCTATTTACATAGTCATCCTGGCTCCTATGTTGTTTTATTTATATTAGTGTGTACTGCCTACATAAATGTATGTGGTGTTATTTTTGCCTATGATCTAACAAAGCCTGCCTGAAGATCAGAGTGCAAAGCTAAAAACAGCCATAAAAACCAGGCAGTGGTGTTCACTATCTTTTATTCCAGAAGTCACATTTGTTAACCATAGAAGCTAGACAGTGGTGGTGAACACCTTTAATCCCTGCACTAGAGAAGAATCTTAGGTGCATGGAGATAGGAGTGCAGTATATTCAGTCTGCAATCATGCTAGGAGAGTATTGCCCCAGTCTTGATAGACCTGAGAACTCTAATTTGGTTGGCTGCTGTGCTTTTTGATCTTCAGCTCGAACCCTAATATCTGTCTCTGTTTTTATTAATTGAATAATGTTCTGTGTTCAACTTTTGGTGTAAGAATTCATGAAAAATCCACTTGTCTGTGACTTTGAAACCATCAGTCCAGGATGGAGCTTCACATGATGCACCTATCAGAGTCTCTGCCCAGCTGGCTAGGTTTTCTTTTGTTTTTTTTTCCCCAAGCCTCTGACCAAGTTCAGAATTTACTGACATGGCCTCTCTAAACAGTTTTCAGCTGACACTCAGACTCCAGAAATACCTGGATTCCAAACACCATGGGAGTTACCCCCCCCCCCCCCAGACAGGCTGCCTTTGCATTCAGGCTGCACCCAGCCACACGGTGTATTTTTTCCACACAATTCTGTGTGTATGTGTGTGTGTGGTTTTTTTTTTTTTTTTTTTTTTTTTTTTTAGACAGCCGGCTCTCTCTGTCTCTCCCAATCACACTGTGGGATGCAGGCTTTCCCTATAGTCCTTCCCCTCAGGCAGCCATTCTCAGCTCACAGCCACATGCTATAATTCTCTGATTAAACAAGCTATGGTTCAGACTTCACTGTCACTGTAGGCAGATTTGGAAAGAAAATCAAGAATACTTAAAGGAAGATATTAGCTAAAAGGGAGAGATTTTCCCACATTAAAAAAATAGGAAAGGTCCTCTTCCACCAGCCATTGGCTAGAGGTGAATCTGAGCACAATTGGGGCGGCCTCTACCCTACAACCCCCCCTTAACTCCCTGGGTTGGCCCTGGATCCCCCTGCTCCTATGTCCTGTCCCCATTGAGAGCACCCTTGGAGCTCTGATACACCCTCACCCATCCCCACTGCGAGCCTTTTTCCCCTACCCTGTGCCCTACTCAGCCCACTGTCCTGCTGCTCTGGTTGAGCACTGGGACAGAGGGTGGAGCCAACAGTCCACACTACTTCAGGGACTTCTTGGAGCAACTCTGAACAAAGGAGACCTGCCTATCCACGTGAAAACATCCGTAATTTCAACCTGCTTGGTCTCTGACCCCCACCTCCAGTCCTCTGCTGGAGTCCTGGGCCCCTCCCAGAGATCCGTCTATCTCTGCGGGACCACTGTGAATTCCTGCTGGCATTTTCTACTGGATCTTCATCCCTGACCCCATCCCTGGGTCCCTGTCTGCAGAGAGACCTCCTATAGAGCTTGAACCATCCAGAGTAACAGATATTGAACCTCTGACCCACATAAGCCCACCGGGGAAGTACCATAGAGGGGGGGGAGACCCCACCAACACCTACTGGATGAAGCTATGGGAAGATGGCAATACAAGAAAACACCTAACAACAGAAAGACAAGCATGACACCACCAGAATCTAGGGTATCTACACCAACTAGAACAGAACACAAAAACAAAGCAGAGGGAGCAGAAGGGAATGACTTAAAAATTACCAGCATAAAAATGATAGAGGCCCTCAAAGAAGATGTGAGAAAATCCCATAAAGAAATGGAAGAAAAAACAAACAAAAAAGTAGAAGAAATGAACAAATTCCTTAAGGAAAGTAAAGAAAGTACAGAAAGCCAAGAAAAAACAATTAAGCAGGAGAAGGAAACAGTTTAAGACTTGAAACCTGAAATAGAGAAAATAAAGGCAACACAAACCAAAGGAATGCTGGAAATAGAAAAACTGAACAAAAAATCGGGAACTACAGACACAAACATAACCAATAGAATTCAAGAGATGGAAGAGAGAATCTCAGGCGCAGAAGATAAGCTAGAAGAAATAGATTCATCAACCAAAGAAAATCATAAATCCAACAAATCCTTGACACAAAACATCCAAGAAATGTGGGAGACCATGAAAAGGTCAAACTTAAGAATAATAGGCATAGATGAGGATGAAGAAACCCAGCTCAAAGGTGCCGAGAAAATATTCAACAAAATCATCTAGGAAAACTTTCCCAGACTGAAGAAGGACAATGCCATGAAAGTACAAGAAGCATACCGAACCCCAAATAAGCTGGACCCAAAAAAAAAGACTCCTCAACATATAATAATGAAAACACCTACCATACAGAATAAAGAAAGAATATTAAAAGTAGTGAAGGCAATAGGACAGGTAACATGTAAAGGCAGACCTATCAAAATTACACCTGACTTCTCCATGGAAACCCTCAAGGCTAGAAGGTCCTGGATAGATGTTCTACAAGTATTAAGAGAATACCATGCCAGCCCAGTCTACTATACCCAACAAAACTCTCAATCACTATAGATGGAGAAAACAAGATATTTAATGACAAAACCAGATTTTTCCCAATACATATCTACAAATCCAGCCCTACAGAAAGTATTGGAAGGAAAACTCCAACCCAAGGAAGGTAACTACGCCCACAAAACTGTAGGCAACAGATAATGTAACTATATCAGAAACCAAGGGTAAAGCAGAACAAATATATTGACAACACCACTGCCAACAACAAACTTAAAACAAACAAGCATCAAAAATCAATGATCCTTACTCATCCTCAACATTAATGGTCTTAACTCATCTATAAAAAGACACAGGCTAACAGAATGGATACGAAGACAGAATCCATCCTTCTGCTGCATACAAGAAACACATCTAAGCTTCAAAGATAGATATTACCTCAGGGTAAAGGGTTGGGAAAAGATATTCCAATCAAATGGAACCAAGAAGCAAGCAGGCATGGCTATCCTAATATCTAACAAGTTAAACTTCAAACAAAAATTAATCAAAAGAGATGAAGATGGTCATTTCATATTCATCGCAGGAGAAATCCATCAACACAAAGTCTCAGTTCTGAACATCTATGCCCCTAATAAAAAGGCACCCACATTCGTAAAAGAAACACTACTAAAACTCAAAGCTCATATAAAACCTCACACACGTATAGTGGGAGATTTCAATACACCACTCTCAACACTAGACAGGACCACAAATCAGAAACTCAACAAAGAAACAAAAGAATTAACAGAAGTTATGTCTCAACTGGGGTTAACAGACATCTATAGAACATTCCATCCAAAGACAAAAGAATATACCTTCTTCTCTGCTCCACATGGAACCTTCTCTAAAATCGACCACATACTAAGTGGCATAACAAACCTCAACAGATACAAGAGAATAGAATAGTCCCCTGTACCTTATCAGACCACCATGCTTTAAAATTGGAATTGAACAACAACACAAATAGCAGAAAACCTGCAAACTCATGGAAACTTAACAATGTGCAATTGCACCACCCCTGGGTCAAAGAAGAAATAAAGAAAGAAATTAAGGACTTTCTAATATTCAACGAGAATGAGGACACAGCATACCCGAACTTATGGGACACCCTGAAAGCAGTGCTACGAGAGAAGTCTGTTGTACTAAGTGCCCATATGAAGAAAACAGAGGATAGTCACATAAAAGAATTAACAGCACAACTGAAAACCTTAGAACAGAGAGAAACGAACTCACCCCTTAGGAGTAGACCCCAGGAAATAATCAACTTGAGGGCTGAAATCAACAAAATAGAAACCAGGAAAACAATACAAAAAAATTAAGGCAACTAAGAATTGGTTTTTTGAGAAAATCAACAAGATAGACAAACCTTTACCCAAACTAATGAAAAAGCAGAGACAGAACATGCAAATTAACAAAATCAGAAACGAAAAGGGGAACATAACAACGGACACAGAGGAAATCCAGACAATTTTCAGGTCATACTTTGAAAATCTATATTCCACAAAAATTGAAAATTCAAAGGAAATGGACAAGTTTC